CCCTCCCCCCCTCCCGCCTCCCCCGCGACCGACGTCGAATTTGTCGATAGGTAAACCGTTGGATAAACCTTAATCCGGCGCGGCCTGGCGCGGTACCGTTGTCTTGGGTAAACAGTGGGTTACGGATGGACAGTCGTGCAAGTGGGACGGCTGTTTATTAACCCGCGCGTGTTCGACGTTCACAGAAAACTTCAAGCAGACGTAGAGTCGCGCGGAGAAGCGAGAAAACGGGTTTCTCGCGAGCCCGTCCGTCTCCCCCGACAGCGCGATCGCTGTCAAACTTGAGTCTATCGTTTTTCGCGGTTTCACCTCGCGCTCCGCCGTAATCTCGGCGCGGCGCAATCATGTACAATTTCTTCTCTACACGGGAAGAACGGTTTTGCTGAATTACCTGAAAAATTTTTAGCCGGCTAGAGATACGAAAATAATTTTCTTCAATCACCATTAAAATAATTCGACGAAATCTCAAGCATGACGAACGATATGTCATGCAAAAAAGTTTGAACATTCCAGCAACGAATTTGAGCGTTCTACATAATTATCTCGGTGATCCAGTACGATTATTTTCGGATCTGTATTTAGCTAAAGCTTTTAGATGTTTCAGCAAAATTATCGTTGCTGTATAAAAATTAATTAGATACAGATCTAAAAATAATTTTGTCGAAATAATGATGTGGAAATCTCAAGCATCTCAAGATAGCACAGAGTTCAAAAAAGAATTAAAAAAGAATTCAGTTGTCATCAATTTGGAATTTATTTTCAAACTTAAAAAGAATTCTTTTTCTAAACCATTCTGAAATAATTCTTTTTGCATCTGAGAATGAACTCGGAATTGATGGCATACGACTGAATTCTTTTTGAATTCCGAAATGATGAGTGATACTGTATAAAGTTAGAATATTTTAACAATCAATTTGAGCGTGTTACATGATTATTTTAATAATCCAAAAAATTTATTTTCAAATCTGTATCTATATACAGGGCGTCTCTAAAATTCGGCATCTTCTATCCTGAGCAGATCTTAGACTAAACTAAGCCGAAAAGTCCTCTATTATTTTGCAATTTTCGCAATGATTAACGAGATATTAATTATATTAAAAATCTAAATATTAACTTTTAATAATTTTTCACTCAAATATATCAACTATATCAACTTTACAGAAAAACAGCAAGAGATAAAAATTGTCTATTTTCTTCTTATAAAGTTCTGAGAATTTTTTCAGAATTTTTTAATACCGTATTTTCTCATGGTGGTAAAAGTAAGGAAATGCAGCACTAAAAAGGTTGATAAAAAATGTTCTGCAAAAATTCTTAGAATTCTATGGGAAGGAAATAAATGATTTTTGTCTCTTGCAGATTTTTCGCGAAGTTGATAGTATTCGAGAAAAAAATTTATGTAGAGCAATATTTAGGAACTTTTAGTAATTAATATTAATCATTGCGAAAATTGATAGAGGATTAAGCTTTTCGATCCCAATTTAATCCGCTCTTAGGAGGGGCGAATTTTAGGGACACCCTGTATAACTAAATTTTTAGATACTTCAGCAAAATTTCTCATTTTTTCCTATTGTCGCACATCGTAACGATCTCCCACCGCTCGCACGAGGAAGACGAGAGTCGGAGGGGACATGTCCGAAATTTATTCCGACCGAGCCGCCGCCGCGGACGGCGATTGATTCGCTTATGAATGAGTTGCGTAAAGAATGAGTTGCACGCGGCTCGATCGTGAAAGATGCGCTCGCGCTCGCGCGCTTCTTCCCATATCAGAAATAATTCAGCGTTGATTGCGAATCCAAATTATCCAAGAGAGGAATTTCCCCCCAAATCCCTCGTTTTCGCGACGTTCCTCGATCCCCGCACAACCCGCCGGTTCCTTCGCAATTTCATACGTCACATACGCGACTCATTCGGTCGATGTACCGTTAATCGACGTGAATCGTCGGCCTGGCTTACGCGTGTATACGTTTGTCGTTTGAGAAAAATTTGCAGGCCTCCTCTCGTCTCCCGCTGATGAGATCTTCGGATGAGATTCGTAGCAGCAATGTTGAATGACGAGGGTCAACAATGCAGAAAGAAAATGGGAAGAGGGGGAACAAGATCCAATCTTGGTGATAAAACTCTAGACGATTCTAATTAATTACTCTACCCTTAGAATCGTAGACGCTCATCTACGATCTCTCTTCTCGAAAAGA